TCAAATCTTATCATTATTAGGCTACTAACTGTAGAATCGATTAAAACACATTCAGGTTATTCAATAACCTTTTATTATAGTTTAACTATGTCCGTGATATATGTACTAAGCTGCATCAAATTGAACTTCTATATCATATGGCTTCTACAGTAACAATCTGTTAAGATCAATCAAAAAAGTGCTTGTATAAAAGGACTTCTAGGCAAGGGTATTCAATTTTCGGCTTGCCGAAGATAGCTGTTCTTTCTTGTTTTACCATACATATCTCTGTCTATCTCCCGCTCTATCTCTCACACTTTATGTGTGTGTGTCTCTGTGTCGCTTGGCGCTGCTTTTTACGGTACGGTCTTGCGGCCATCATAAAATGGCATAAAGAAGCAGCAGCAAAATGAAACCAAAAGCACAGCGCAGTAAAATGAAGTCTAAAACTAAATCCCGCATAAGGTACGAACGTGCTCAACACAAATGCCAGGTGCTTACTTCTACACGTCACTGTTGGCACCCGTCGCCGCCGCCGCCTTCGTTGTTTACCTGACTGGATTTTTACAGTGCCTATTTGTACCGAACGTTTGTTGTTCTTACACACACCCATACACACATGCATGCATTTAAATATACATACATATATATGTGTATGTATATATGTTGCGGCAAGTTGATGTGCTCGAACAAAGCGCTGAGCAAACTTGCCAACGGCAAAGCTAAATTTAAGCCAACAGGCAGTTGGCGCACACTTTGCATCTTTGCATATGGCCCGAACTCCGCTCAACTGGAAGCTGTTAAATATCGAACACACATTTCTACACTCGCACACACACATACTTTTGCACACGGCTCTGGTTTGCAGCAGCGATTGCGAACAGAGCCAACTGACTTTGGTAAATGGTCTGAGATTTGTGCGACAGTTTCTGCTGCCGGACCAGATAAGCCTGATGTATGGCCACCAAAAGCACAACTTAAAGCCAAATGCCAGCTAATGCACCTTCAATTTAACACACACACAATCACACACACACACGTGCACAATTAAAGCTCAAACTCAACTGACTGTAAGTTTTACACGAAACCTACACTGAAAAAAATTAGCCTAGTTTAACAATTAAATTAACTAAAAATCTTTAAATTGAGAAGTTAAGCAATAATTAGATTGACAAGTAACCAGTGAATTTTAATGAGGAATAGATATACAATTGTGTGGGGCTAGAGTTTATACGTTGACAATATTTACAATAAAATTCGTGGGTTAAGATGAGTTCTGCAAAAAACATTGCATCAATTTCTAGTCCAGCCAACCCCTTTTTTTCACTGTATTAGATAGTGTCTTAGCTGGCGAATTGCAGTGCCACAGCAGAGAATATAAAATCAGAAACAGGGACACTAATGAAAACACGAGCACGCACCCGAGTGAGGCAGGACTCAGTCTGCGGGCCCCAAAGAGATGTCAGCTGCTGGCCACATCAAACTGAAGTCTGTCAACACCTGCTGTTGCCACTGCGAGTGCTGTCTTCATATGAACTGATTTTCTTGGCTATTCGCATAGAGTAATTGGTTCTTGTTATCCTTTGGTGGCATTTGTCTTAATAACGTTGACTTTGCCACTGGCTCGTGCCGCAGCTGCCATTTCTAAGCCATTTGGCTTGCGCCGCAGCTGAGTTGTTTTTGAATTTGGCCGCCATTTTGTGCTGCAAGTTCTGAGTGCTTGGAGCCCAATCATTGTAAAATTAACGCCATAAAAATGACGCACTCGCTCCCTGCCCCTCCCAGAGAGCGGCAGGCGCAACCAAGCTGGCAGAAACTGAAGTAAAATCAAATAAAAATTAAGTGCTGACTCAGTTCGTCTGGAAAAACCGGAGAGTGTGCGGCATGCAAAGCACAGATAAGAATATTTTCCACTGAAAAAAAAAAGCAAAAAAAAAAAACAACAAAAATAAAAGCGTGCTGAGGTATGGTCGGGCGCCCAAGCAATAGACAGAGCCAGTCATTTACATGGCCACAAAATACAACAATGTTAGCCAGAATTGTTGCCCAGGACTTGAAGGCTAACGCATGAATGCGTCTGCTTTGCTGCTGCTGCTGCTCGTTGGCCATTGAGTAAGTGAAATGTAAGGCCAAATACTCATACAAATAACAGAGCCTACACATGCCTTGGCTAACACAAAAAGCGATTTGAAGCTGGCCCAAAATGCATTTAGCCAATATGCCGAGCCGAGCAGAGCAGAGCAGAGCGCGCCTCTGAAAACTGCTGAAACAAATGATGCAAATACATTTTCAGTGGCCTTTTCCAAGAAAAAGAAAAATATACGAGAATTTTTCTTAGCTCTCTGGCAGTTTTTACCTGCCGCCAGTTGGCTGCCCCAAGCCGCATGCTGCTTGATGCTTGCGCTGTGGCTGTGGCTGTTGCACGTGCTTGTTGTGGGACCGTTGCCGTTGGAAGTTAAGTATACGTAACGTAAACGCAAATTTAATGCTTGAAAAATTCGCTTAAATGGATTTAAGTGCGGCATTATTTTTTTTTTTACGTTTTTTTTTTTGTTGTTGTTGTTGACCCCGCTGCCGTTCCACTTGGGCGGCTGCTGGCGCTGTGTGCGTTATCTTTGTGGCCAGCGTTTGTCGGGGCAGATAAATGAAAATCTTTAAAAAAGATGAAGTAGCAGTCACAGTCAGGGCACAGCCTCTGTCTGAACAGCAGCATCAGCATAAGCATCAGTTGCCGAGTAGGCTTTTGTGTTTATTGAGGCTACTTATCGACTGTACACAGTCAAGTTCGCTTTGACCCTTGATACGCTTCAACCCAGTTGACCCAATTGATGCACTGGCTAACAGTGATGAACGCTTTTGGGCTGAAATGTGTGCTAATAGAGGGCAGCTTAGAGCAACGACTTGAGCGCACAGCACTGCGTATACGCAATGAAACTTAATCAATTGCATTGCTTGACCGTAAGCAGGCTTCCTCCCGCGCTCAGCCTACATTTAATTGAACATTCGTTTGTTTTTGTATACTCGCACATATTGCTGGAAATGCATTTGCATAATAAACTGGTGACCCAGTTTGCAGAATTTATGCCGCCTCGATAAATCAGTGCACAGTCTGTGTATGTTTTCTATATAGAAAAGCAATCACTTTGATGCACAGGCTCATGAACAGCAGTAGGACACGGTTGCAATATCTGTAGATGTGTGTGTGAAAAGGATTTGGCCGCCTGCTTGGCTGCTTTTAATGCACTTGACTTGCGTTTGATTCGAAATGTCGACCGGCATCCGACTGTAGCTTGTCTTGTTTATTGAAACACGAACAGGCCTGGAGTGCACACGACCTACTGCATGTTGCCCAATGCTTTAGATGCCATGAAATTTATATGCTGACGCACTATATAATCTACGAGTGTGTCGCTGGCCAACAGTGCTTAACCTCTGATAGCGGCATTTAGATTCAAGCGTTTATTTTTGCGTGCTCCACAAATCGATGGCAACAGCTTCTCGGGCACATTGCCTTGGGCTTTGGGCACTCAATATTTACGACTCAGCTGGGTCTCGCCGGTTCAGCAACAAGCCGCACACTTTTTATAGGCAATTAAATTCTATAAGCCATGGGAACTGGAACCGAGCGGAACCAATGGCTGCGACGTGGGCGTAACGGCTTGAAGGATCTGAGAACATAAGATTTGCATTTTTTATTTTATTTCGCCAATGTCTATATTTTGTTAAAGCTCAAGTGCAGTCACCGCCGCTCACACTTCTAAGGAAGGAAAAAGGTCAAATGGAAAATGGAAAATGAGTGCGGCGAAAAAAGGAGAGCCGAAAGAGAGCAGCCGGGTCCGGTCAATGATAACCTTCGGCATTATAGTGTGAAGTAATGAATATTAAAATGAAATTTGCAGGGACATTTCACACAAATACATACACACACACGCACCCACATTCACACAGTTGGATGGAAAATCGAAGACGCAGCTTGGCCAACAACAAGAACAACAACAACAGCAGCAACAGCAGCGCACGTTGACAAAGAGCAAATATTTTGACAGCTGTCAGTTGAAGAAAATGATTTTACATTTTCCTTCTTTTTTTTCTCCTCCATATCAAGCTGGCGGTGCCTTCTTTGTATATTTTAACGGGTATTGTATGTGAATGTGTCTTTGTGTGTGTGTTCTTTTCACACCAGTTGGTGCTGGAGTAGGGTCTCTCGAGCTGGCAGTCAGGCGAGGGGAGCTGCAACCGCATGCCAGGCTGATAGACAGGCAGACAACGTGACTGCTCCTTTAACACCAATTGCTTTTTAATGCATGCATGTCCCAACTGAGCGAGACAGAGAGAGCAACAGAGTGGGTAGAGGGTATGCCAGAGGAGGTTGCAAAACAAATATATGTACGCAGGACGTTTAAAAAAATTGATTGACATTTTTGGTGAGCACACATTTCGTCTTATTTTATATGCAAAGCAGTGGTGAACACACACATGCATATGGGCATGTGTGTCTGTGCGGGTGTGTGTCCGTGTTACGGGCGTGCATACATATGTCAATGTCGCACTGACAGACAATAATGACGTTAAAATTCCCAGCATTTTCCCGACGCTATTTGGGTCGCATTTGTTGCTATTGTTGTCGCCACCATGTGGCACATTCTGACGCTGTCGACTATTTAAAGTACAGCAGCACACCTTTTATGCTATAACAAAGGATTGGGCCATTTTTCGGCTTTGACCGTCACCACATGATGGTTAATTACAGACACCTTGCTTCAATTTGACAAACGTTCAGGTTCAAGCGCTATCCCAGCGGGTTAAAATAAATTTTAACAATGACTGGGTTGACGGATGCACATTGGAGAGCTCTACAAAGAACAATTTCTATGACTATTTCAAATAGTAAATCAAATGCTTTCATGACTAGTTGATTGGCCACGTCTGTCGCTGAGAGATCAATAAGCTGCTCCAATTGTTTGTCTAAGTTTACCCGAGATCCATATCAAAAAAATACTAAACGATATTCATAATATTCGCGTAAACCTGTTACTCTCAATTTAATAATAACTGAGAAAGTCTGAACTATGGAACTACAATTTTATAAAAATACGTGTGAACATATATTATCCCACTTAATTTTTGCAATTTTTATCATCGCCATTGGGCAAGGGAGCAGGCATATTTGGGTACTCCCAGGTTGAAGGTAGAGCTGCATGGCGTTCCGTGTAGTACTGATAGCTCTGCACAAACTCACAAACATTCGTAGGTATCGGATACACATTTGCCTTACGCTCGTCTATCAGGAATTTTGCCACAGCAACGCCCACGCTAAAGGCCACATTTGCAGCTTCCTTAATGGGTGGATAAAGCGCAGCGTCGTTTGGGGAAAATTCCCTACAGTATTTGGCGATTTCGTGGGCCGTTACAAGGAAAACGTCGTCCGATATAGTACGAGGTTTGGTACACAACACACCCAGCGCGACGCCAGGAAAGGCAAACGCGTTATTGGCCTGCGTTGGTATCAGCCGTTTGCCATCGATAACAACAGGCGGGAAGGGTGAGCCGGAGGCAAACAGAGCGCGACCCTGAATTGACAAGTAGTTATGGCACACATATAGTATTTGTTAGAGTATTAGTATGTGTCTGTTTACCTCTGTAAAATTGTATGCCTGCTCGGCGGTGCATTCAGCTTTGTTTGTCGGATTCGAGCAAGCGAAAATAGCTGGATGTTCGTGCTCGCTTCCCATAATACGCAGTATGTTTTCGGTAAAGATGCCGCCCTGACCTGTGGCGCCTAATAAAATGGACGGTTTAAGTTCCTTAACCAATTGCTCAAGATCCTTAAGGGGTGGCCTGTCTTTGGCAAATAGCTTCAAGTCTGGTATATCAAATTTCTTTCTATCTTTGGTTATAAGACCTTCTACATCGGTTATGTAAATGTTCTTGACAGCTTCTTCTTCGCTTATCTTCCGGCTGATCAACTCCTTGACTAGCAACTTGCTAATGCCTAGCGCTGCGCTGCCAGCGCCCACAAACAAGACAATGTGATCTTTGAGTGGTTTCTTTGTGATGTGTTCGACGGAAAGAAAACCAGCCAGGCCGCAGGACGCTGTGCCCTGTATATCATCATTGATTTTACAATATTTGTCCTGGTACATGTTGATAAACTTAAAGGCATTCGGCGTAGAAAAGTCCTCGAAATGGATGAGCGTCTGGTAGCCCCAAACCTTGACAACTGCATCCATGAATTCTTGTACAAGATCTTCGTACTCCTTGCCTTTACAACGCTTTTCGCGCACGCCAATATAAAAGGGATCGGAGAGCAGCTGCTGGTTGTTAGTGCCAACATCAAGGACAACCGGAATAAGGTATTGCGGTGGTACTTTTGCCAGCGCCGTGTACAAATCCAGCTTGCCCACAGATATGCCCATGCCACCGGCTCCCAGATCACCTAGACCGAGTATTCGCTCACCATCTGTAACGCACACAGCACGTATATCCTTGCTCGGCCAGTTACTGAGCACATGTGTCATGTAGCCTTTATCGTACTTGCTCACATACATGCCCATGGTACTGTGGTAGATCAGGCTGAATGCCTGGCATACCGCGCCTACCGTGGGCGTGTATATAATGGGCATTACGTCCTCGATTTTCTCGATGACATACCGATAATAAAGGCGCTCCTGGCGAGAACGCAACGTTCTCAGATACATGTAACGGGCAAGATCCGACTTCTGCGCATGAAAATTGGCATTTACAGCGCTAATCTGCTCGGCTTCGCTGCGATAAGCGCATGGAAAGAGACCAATTACATTCAGTCTTTGGCGTTCATCATGCGTATATCCCATGCCCTAGTTATTGGTAGCCCGTTTTAAGAACTACTACTCAATATACAATCCCTTGTTGCTCACCTTGTTGTAATGCGGATCTGTGACCTTGCGATACTCTGCTTTTATGACATTCGCATGCCGGTAACGCCTTGGCGGGTTCGGGCACTCAATTATTTTAGACTTCTGCGTTTTGGGGCACAATGAAAACCTGTGATGAGAGTTGTAAATAAGTTATGAGACATGCGCTAAGCGCTTACCCGAAAGTCCGTTTAATCCCAACCAACAGTTGACTATAAGCCATCGCGTATGTTAATTTAGCCCAAAGTTAAGTCAATTCCGCTGAAAATATATACATTCAACCAAATAAGAAAAAAAACGGTGTATTTAAATATTGAAATAAAAAAGGAAAGCCATGTGAACTTTGTGATCTAGAAAATGTGTAAATTAAACAAATTTTTCATAATTGCCTGGCTGGACCTCTCGTTGTAGCTCGACCCATCACCCGGCTGAAGAGACCACAACACCTGGCACTGTTGTAGGAGCAATAAATGTTTTTTGTTGTTTTTTAATGTTTGCCCTGTACTTATTTGTACCCTATCTTTCTCACTTAAGACCTCTTTCTCCTGATATATACACTATATCTTTACTTCATTTGTTTATTTTCAATTTAAATAGGGAACAAATATAAGTAATAATAAAATCATTTTAAAATGGTTAATAAAGAAAGTTAATTCAGTAAACTGACAGAACGAAGTGGACATGAAATGTATAAAAAAAAAATTAGAAATCATTAAAAGAATGCTCTTTAAGTTTAAGCTCTGGCCTGGTCAACAATGACAAATTTGCATAAGGGTCATCTTGTCAGCAAGCCAGCGGAGACTGGCAAATTACTATTTACATATATACTTACTTATTATTCATTATGTATCTATTATTATGCAAATCAGTGGCAACTCAATGTCTAAGGCTTTGCTCATTTTAATGAGCGTGTTTTGCCATTATTGTTGCTGTAGCTGTTGTTATTGTTGTTGCTTGTTTTCTTTTTATGGCGGCGCAAGTTTAGGGATCTGGACCAGAAAAGACCCATTGTCAGTCGGGCTGCTCATTAGTTGGTGTTTTATTTTGTATGTTGACATCGAAAAAGAGCATGAAATGGGGAAAAGCAAACACAAATTGACTCTTAGCGCTGCCATCAAAGGATTTGTCTGAGCAGAGAACGGAAATAAAAAAGTTGCCTACTTTGCGGCACCCGTTCCGCCCGCTCATCCATTGTCTGTTGCCTACTAATTGCGCCAAATTAGTTGACAACTTAATGTCGTAAAATTTTTTTAGCTAAATGCCTCAATCTTTCGTTAATGGCATTGACAGTGGTGTTACCTACATACATATTTCGGAGATGCGGCGCACGTGATGTTTCTGAGTACGTGACACTTGGGCCGCAGTGGCTGTCAAATCTGCAAGGACATGCTTTGCCTGTTTGTTTACAACAGCTGCGCATGTGTGTGCGTGTGTGTGTGTGTATTGTTTTATAGACGACTTCTTTTGTCTTGCTGCTGCGCCTGCAGCCGCCCCATAAATTAACTTTCTCAGCTAAATTATAATAGTTTAATTAGTTTTTTGTACGCCTGACACACGCTGCTGCTGACAGTTTCATTAATAGATGCATAAACTTTAATTAACTGGAGTTGAAATCTGCAGAGGGTCCCAGGTCCAGGTCCAGATTCTGGCTGACAAGCGCGACCCCTAGCAGTGACCTTTAAACATGCTGAGCTTTTGTTGGCTTTTGCATTTATTTTATTATAAGTGATATTATATATTATATACTCATACCACACATATCTCTTTCGGACTCTTGCAGAGCATGTCAAGGACTTCAGCTGTGGCCCGCTGCACTACAAAACCTTTTACATGGATGAGCGCAACAACGCGCTCTATGTTGGCGCCATGTAAGTACCCAGTACAGAGATAGACAAGGACTTTTAAGGATAAGTGCTAGATTTATAACTGCATAAATATGCGGCCAACTATGCAGACCAAGTTCAGTTCGGTTCGGTTTGGTTCGGTTCGTGTCGTTTCGGTTCAGCGAGCATTTGATGCCCTCAAATCCAACGCAGCCGCCCCACCTAACGTATCTGTGAGCGATAATTACAAACTTCCGCTGTGACTGTGTGAACTTCCGGCTGGGGCTAAAAGCAGAGCTACTCAAAAGCTTCAACGCATTTTGAGCTGCATATTTCATTTTTGGACGTCCCTACGTCCAAGGGTCGAGAGTTGTTGGCAACACTGTCGGCATACATAATTATGAATTAATGCTTGACGTGCGGTTCGAAGGGTAAGGGTCGGGTCGGTCTAGGTCAGAGTGTAGAGCAGAGGGCAGAGGGCAGTTCGTTAGTTCTCCAGCTCAATTTGACAATGCCCGTCGTCGTCGGCGTCGTCTGCTCATTTGTCTGCCGCAACTTGAACATGGCCGCATTTTAACAGTTGCGGTCTCCGACTGCGCCCCCTAAAAGCAGCCAAACAAAGTAACCAAAATTACCACTTGACTCGAGCGCCATTTTTCCAAACGCAGCCCCGCAACCTCCGGCAGCCGGCAGCGCTCGTTGGGGCATCATCAGTGACTGCTCCTGCGGCTGTGGCCCCAGTCTGGAAATGAAGATTAATGGTTTCGAGTTGTTCGGGTTGCCTCACTGGCCTCGCTGGCCCCACCGGTGCCTAAAACTCTGCCGGCAACTACATAAAACACACTTTAGCGGCGAGTTTCGGCGTCGACGCGTTTCCCCTTTTTTCAGTTGAGCCTCAGAAAAACTTTCGAATAGCCGGAAAGTGGGTGCTGCCATTGCAAATGCTCTTGTCGCTTAAAGTTGGTCCGGTATAGCTGGGCGCCCGCCCCCATCCCGACCTGGTCCATAGCCGCAATATTGCGACATCGATGTATCAATCCATCAATCAATCAATCACGAACCCGTTCAGTGCAATAAACGTAACAGGGCACCGTTGACGAGCAAGTGCGTCAAATCCAAAAAATATGCTACACTTCAGCCAAGTGCAATGCAACGATTTTTCAAAATACCAAACACACACTCACACCCACTCGCACACACATAACACACACACACACACAAGGCTGACAGAGATACAACCAGCAAATAGACAATTTCAATTGCTTGACGGCAGGCAAAGTCTTTCTCGAATCTCGCTGCTTTTCCTGTGATGCCACCAACTGACAAGCTGACGGCTCCTGCTCAGCGGCAACCGCTGTTGAATCTGTTTGTCTCTACGAATCTTGTGAGTGTGTGTGTGTTTGTGTGTGCGGTGGCATAATGTCACGCCCTTGTGCTGATTGCGTTTTGCAGCACAGCATTAACTTATCGTATGTCACGGCACGAGCGCGGGATTAGCTCAAGTGTCACTCGAGCAGGCGCATATCTACACAAGTATTCCATAAAACAAAAGGAAAATACAACCAGCCCTAATCTATATTTCTTGTTGTCTCTTGCAGGGATCGCATTTTTCGTCTAAATCTGCGCAACATCAGCCAATCTATATGCGAGGTAAGCAAAAGTAAACATTTAAGTCAAGTCAGAATTGACTGCAGCTAAAAAATTAAAAATGATTTTAAAAAAAACTGATAATTCGGCATACCGAAATCTTAATACACTTGTATATGGCTATTATGGTTACATGTTATCACAGAAGCTTTGAATTATTGACCGATCGTTTCTATGGCAGCTATATGATATAGTGGTCCGTTCTGCCAGTTCCGAAATATTTCCTATCTGCAACAGAATAACGAAGCTGTGCAAAGAGACTGACAGACCTGGCTATATCGACTCGTGTATCATAAGTGCGCATGTAAATGCACAAAACACTTACACCTGCACATGCAGACACTCTTAGCCACTTGAGTGTTGCTTGCTAGACAGACCGTTGTTGACACACTACCACACACACCCCTCCCCCCACCCACCCCCCTCACTCACAAACACACGAAAACACACGCACACACATACTAACAGGTTAAGTTCACTTACAGGCTTTTCACCTGGCCAGACAGACTGTAAAGATGTTTGTCGAGTTTGTATGTTGGTTTCTGTTTGTGTTCGCACACTTTATGACATGCACTCTATAAGTATACACACACCTGCAGCATATGTTTGTTTTTGCGTATGCTTGGCTGTGATACTTCTACTCTTTTAAGAGTTTTTCTCTAAATTTGATGTACTTATTCATTTGTAAACTGATGCTTCTTACTATTGAATAAAAATAGTCAAATATCAATCAAGATACCCGACTAGCAGATATTCTGTACCCAGCTACGATTCTGTATTGCGTACTTCACATTTGTACTCATTTCTATTTCGAGGATACGAAATCCCTCACACTAGATATAGATATTTTAGCTCTCATATGGATATATTCGTTGATTTTGGAGCATTTATAGCCTTATAGCCGCATTTAAAATTTAAATTACCGATTGACCTATTTTAATATACCTCTCGTATAATTTGCTATAGGTACGGGGTATACATATAACAGTTATTTCTGAAAATAAATAAATATTTATAATAAATACCACATAATTAAACCGACAATATTTACATGCAGAAATCTTCAAACAAAAATTGCATTTATAAATTGTTTATTATTTTTATTATTTATATTAAGAATACTTCTGTTTAGCAAAACAAAATATCGTTGCAATAAATTGACTAAGATAAATCAATTCAAGTCAATCGATATTTGTTTGCTAGATTTTAGTATGTGTCCTGTACGCAAAGTGATTTAAAACCATGAAGTATTTGCGATTTACGATTTTCGGAACTGGCAGCCAAATCGAACTCGAAAAAGTTGGGTTTTTTCTTTGCCTGTTCGCCTTCACATCCGTTGCAAAAGATCTAGACAGCCACCCTCACTTGTCCAGGGGCAGGCGCACAATTGCACTTTAATGATTTCGTCTTCAACTATCAATATCCGTTTCCGCTTCAAGTTCATTGCATTCGCATTCGCATTCGTTTTTCCCCCACTTGCATTTCGCATTTGCAATGGAACTTGAAAAACTGGACGAACCATTTTCAGCCGTTTGCCACATCTTTTGAGTCATCCTTGCGCCACTTTGGCCAGGCAGCGGCAAATGCTTTCAGCAGCAATTATTTGTGCTGATTCCTAAACTCCTCCTAGACCCGATTCGTGCTGCTCGGCTCCGGGCTGCACAAATTGCGTTTCAAGTTGAATCACACTGCACTTAGCCGCTGCCCAGAGTGGTGGCTTAAAGTGCAGCCAGTCAGCCAGGCGGGCAAACTGTAAACTGTCAACAGGGCAGGATATTGTGTTCACATGGCCGCAGCGCAAAGTGTGTCAATTCGGAGATTTCTATATGAGACGCATTGAATTCACGAAGTATTCACAGTACCGATTGCCCTAACAGAACAAAAAAGTTATTTAGACGGTACGTGCGGGAATGTTATGTTGCTTTTTCTATTCCCATTCGGCAAAACTTTGTTTTCAAGTTATTTTCAGCAATAATTCGCGTTGGCGTTTAAAATTCAAGTGCAAGCGAAAATCGAATTAAATAAACAAATGCTCAACGTGAGTGAAATGCCAACAACAATGGCTAAAAAATAAAGAGCAGTGCCGCCTCGCCTGGCACATGCACAATAAGAAACAATGAATTTCTTCGCCACGCCAAAGATCAAATACACTTGCAGGCAACTGGCATAGTAGAGCGATTTGATAGGGGGTTGTGCATATTTGGGGATAATTGTAAAGCTCTTGAAAAATATGTCTTTGTTATATATGTAAATATTCAATTTTCTTTTAGCTCTAAATGACATGGTATTACCATGCTCATGAGAGATTTTGCTTATATGTAAGAAACATGGCGAAACTTGTAAAAGCCAAGATTCTTCTTAATATGAACATGAACCTAACTTTCGAGCAATTAAATTTCTGATATTGATATAGTTGATGCAGAACGGGAACAAATATACTTAACAGAGAAACGTCTCCTTTTATGCGTCACACATTTCGTGGCAAAATCGACACACTTTCTGTTAGGGTATACAAACATGTACATACATACACATTTATGTATATATACCATTTGAGGTACACAAATACTGGCACACGAGATGGGCGCCATGATTGTACGTGTTTGGAGCATGTGCCCACGCACACCCACACACTCACTTATACACATGCCCACATACATACATGCGCATACAAAAAATCTTCAATTGTTGCGCGTTCTTTTGTTGTGGTTGTTATTTTGGCTGTCGCATCGCCTTCTTGATAAGCATGAAATTTTATCACGCTTTCAATAAACTTTTAGAATATTTGTTAAGCGTATCTCATTGGAAGAAGCGTAAAAAACACTGCGAGTTGACAGCGAAAGCGCTTTGAATATATTTAAAAAAAAAAGTATATGCATATTTTCTTTGCCTTTGAATTTAATTGGAAATTATTTTGTATTGCAGCGCGACGTTCTAATACTGGAACCCACTGGCTCCGATATACTCAACTGCGTCTCCAAGGGCAAGCGAGAGGTTTGTTACAGACATAAATAACACAGATAAATGTGTATACATACATATCCATTTCCATGCAAAGAAAATTAATCAAAATTGCATGCAAATATTTTGGCCTTCATTTCGATTCGGTACTCATGCATTGCCTTCACATTTCTGTCTGTCCCATTATTGTATCCATTACACACGCACACACAAACACAATTATTTTGTTGCTTAAACAATTGTTTCTATTATGTATAAAAAAACAAAAACCACATTTTGGGCACACATCAAGAAGGTGGAATGCCGCAATCACATACGCGTCATCCAGCCCATGAACTTCAACGGCCATCGGCTCTACGTCTGCGGCACGAATGCGCACAACCCCAAGGATTATGTTATAAACGTAAGTATGAGAATCAAATATATATTTTACATAAAAGATTCATTGGGCAGGTCCCAGGGCTACACGGGGCTACGATAAGTTGTTGGGCCTGGGGCTGGCTTCGTCAACGCCTAATTGTGGTTGTCAGTCAAGCTGGAAGTTAATTTGGCGAGCAAGAGCAGCAAATTCCAAAATTAAAGTCAACTAATGCGCTTTTCTCTATCCTCTCACACTCGCAGGCCAACTTAACACATTTACCCAGATCCCAGTACGTGCCCGGCATAGGGTTGGGCATCGGCAAGTGTCCCTACGATCCCGCTGACAACTCAACCGCCGTCTATGTGGAAAACGGAAATCCCTTTGGTTTGCCTGCGCTGGTAAGTCCAAGTCTCGTTCCCAAGTCGCAATGCCGACGGAAAGAAAAATAAAAAGCAAAAGAAAGCCGGAGGAAAAAGAACGCAAAAAAAAAGGGAAAAATGTCAATTGTAATAAAATTACAAAAGTAAAGTAAAGGCAAAGGACGAAAGAAACAAGTTGCAAGTAGGAAGCAGCAGCAGGTGGGGGTAGCTCAAAGAGGCCAAATGGCAAGAAATTTAAAAGAGTCGCAATAAAGCAACTGAAATTAAATTAGAGTGAGGCACATACACACACACGCACACATGCACACACTCACAGCCCAACACTTGCAAAGACTGTGCGGGAAATCGGGTCGGAGGCACGTGCTTACACTTTACCCGTAATTGTGTGCGTGCCTCTGTGTGTGTGTGAGTGTGCCTGTGTGCCAGTGTGTATGTGTGTGTGCTATATTTTGCCTTTGCTTTTGGAAAATCAAATTTCCCGAATATTTGGCGCTAATTTGCCGGCATTGCTTGCGATCCAGCACAGACTTTCAGTATAATCCATTTCTCCTTACTTTGTATACAGTACGCCGGAACCAATGCTGAATTCACCAAAGCCGATTCGGTTATATTCCGCTCGGATCTCTATAATTTCACCAATGGACGTAAAGAGGCCAATTTTAAGCGCACCGTCAAGTATGACTCCAAATTACTGGACAGTAAGTATTCTGAACCATCATATATTTTATTAAATTGTTTCTGCAACTGACTTTGTTGATGAATAATATTACATTAGTTTAGCTAATCAGCTATTCTATTGTCAATCAAACATAATATTCCCAACATAAGCACTACATCAGTTAAAGAGTTTGCAGAAATATTTCACATATTTTCGATTTTTCCTAAATATTTCAAACTAATTTCTTCATTTTGCTTTATTTTTTAGAACCGAACTTTGTTGGCTCCTTTGAGATTGGCGATTTTGTGTACTTTTTCTTTCGGGAACACGCCGTGGAGTACATCAACTGCGGCAAGGCTGTCTATTCGCGTGTGGCGCGCGTTTGCAAGAACGATCGCGGCGGCAAGTACATGATCAGCCAGAACTGGGCGACATATCTGAAGGCGCGCATGAACTGCAGCATCTCGAGCGAGTTCCCCTTCTACTTCAACGAAATACAGTCCGTCTATAAAATGCCCAACGATGATAGCAAATTCTATGCCACATTCACAACGAATACAAACGGATTGATTGGCTCGGCGGTCTGCAGCTACGATATAAGGGATATCAATGCGGCCTTTGAAGGTTAGTGGGTGACTGGGTGTGTGTGTGTGTGTGTGTGTGTGTGTGTGTGTGTGTGTGTGTGTGTGTGTGTTTGTGTGTGTTGGACTGTGTAGGTGTGTATGAGGGGGTATGCTTGTGTCTGTGTCTGCCAAGGGTAAGCGTGAGATTTATTGCATTGGCAATAATTCTCTGCGGCGCCATTTTTACGAACGTGCATGTGGCTACGTTTGACTTCTTCCAGCATTTCCCATTACGTAGGGCTGCAGCTGCCGGAAGAAATTACGCTCACAGGTGCTGCATGTGTGTAGGAGCTTGCGTGTGTATTCGTCTGGGTATGTGTGTGTGTGTGTGTGTGTGTGTGTGTGTGTGTGTGTGTCGTGCACAGCAGCTTTGGCATTTTAGCGTTAAATGGTGCGAGCTGAATTGATGTGCCTGCTGCCACTGGGGGTCGTTCTGCGGGCGGCTTTAAATGCTTTAACATTTGCTACAAAACGACTGGCAGCGCAGCCTGCTGCCTGCTGCTTGCTGCTTGCTGCTGGCGTGCTGCTTGGTTAACGGTAACAAGATATGCGTGACAGGTGCTAACAACGTCCCATGAACTCACGTGCTGCTGCCACACGCAACCAAACGCGTGCAATTTGTAATGCAACAACGTTTCATGCACACAAAAAATCATTTGGCGGTTGCACAAAATCTGGCGTGCAGCTTGAAATGCATGTCATATTTGCATCCCAGTGGCACTTTCCCCAGTAGCCCATGCTACTTATGTGTACATAAAGTCGTATGCACTTACCCATTCTCGGTGAACATGCAAAAGGCAAGACTGCGAGTGTAGAAAATTTAGTATATGTCAGCATTAAGGAACTACAACAACAGCAGCAACTGCTGATTTTCTAGCAAGTCTCGAAATTCATTTCCGTTGCATTTTCAGTTGAATTCAATTTGCGAACGACAGAGCAAGATTAATCAGTTGTGTGGTACGAAATGTCTGAGGAAAGTTTGAAAGTTAACCAAGTGCAAATGCGGATATTATCGAAAATTATAACGCTTGACATGAGAAATAATTGTAATTTTTAAATAACTCTCTCGTACCATTCTTCATTTCTAATTAAAATAATTCAAATTCAAATAATTTTGTGTTATTCAAGTAAAAAGTAGCGAAATGAATTAATTAAAATGGCTTCACATAAAAATATTATCATTTTTGGGCAATTTGCATTTTGAATAGTTCCAATTATTGAGCAATCATTGAATTTATAATAAATATATTTATCATAAATTTATTTTGGTGACAGCTGCCAAATTCAAGTAGTGCCACATGCATACGCAAATTGCACGCTTTATATATATATGTGTGTGTGTGTGTGTGTGCTCGAGTGCGCGTCAGCACTTTGCTGAAAAGTTCATTAACACCATAAAATTGTGTGTATGGAGTTGTGCCAACTCTCTCAGCGAGACAAAGAGACAGCCAGACAGACAGACGCACATCGAGGCAGACAGAACGCCAGCAGGCAAATGGCAGTAAAAAATCTGGCATACACTTAAAATTCATTATGAAAAGTTTGCGGGCATGTTGCACACACACGCACATACAAAAACATATAAATATATATATATCTATATATATATATATCTATATATATATATATCTATATATATATATATATATATATATGTATGTGTGAAAAAATGTTCCAGAGCTATTGCCAACGCAATTAATTATGAAAAACAAATGATTATGCAGCAAACACTTCAAGTGCTGGCTCAGTATATCTCTGTGTGTGTGTGTGTAATTAGTAGCTCGAACTGTTTTACTTTTGGCCAGTCTTCGTATGTCTGGGCCACAAATCAGCGCCCAGAGCTCTGTAATTTATCATTTACCACAGCGCTGACACACATAAATTTAACATAGCATACTTTTCTGCGCTGCACTTTTATGCACCATATAAAATATAACACTGACTCCATTTCTCTTTCTTTCTTTCTTTCTCTCTCTGTCTCATTCGCTCCGCTGCGTAGGCAAGTTCAAGGAGCAGGCGTCATCGAACAGCGCCTGGTTGCCAGTGCTGAACTCAAAAGTGCCGGAGCCACGTCCGGGCACATGCCACAACGACACCGCAACACTGCCGGACTCGGTGTTGAATTTCATACGCAAACATCCGCTAATGGACAAGGCGGTTGATCATGAATTTGGCAATCCTGTATTTTACAAACGAGACGTTATACTCACCCGCCTCGTTGTCGACAAGTAAGTAAAATGTGTAAATGTATTCATTAGCGAGCCGCAGCAGCTTCAGATCCAGCTTCAGCTTCACCATCGGTTGCCTCTTGGCAACCAGCCACCTATTCGCCTGCATGTGTGTGTGCTAGTGTGTGCTGCGCTTGTTGACATTTGCCAAGTTTATATACAGTGCAACCACAGCCAGGACAACAGGCAGCCCAACGCTGACATTTGGGAGCACTCGCTCACTGACAGCACAACTGTTTTTGCTGCTCCGACTCCGGCTCCGTCTCTGCTCCGACTGTTGTTGTGTAACATAACGACTTGTAAAATAACTTGGCCGGAACTTATGAACATTGCGCCGCAGGATATGCTTTTAGTTAAACGTTTTGTTTTGCTGGGAGCTAAAAAAAAAGAAATGGAAGAAAAAACAACTTGGCCAAGTCGCGTGCATTTGAGATTTGTTGCACAAAAACTGTCGAAGCAGGAGACTTGTGCGATTTATCAACTCTTGCTCTAACTCTACATCTTTCTCTCTTCCTCTTTCTATGGCAGAATACGCATAGATAAACTGAACCAAGAGTTTCTCGTGTACTTTGTGGCGACCAGCACTGGCCAGATCTACAAGATAGTGCAGTTCATGCACTACGGCCAGCGACACTCGAATCTGGTGGACATATTCGAGGCGTCGCCGCGCAACGAACCGATACGCGAGCTGACACTCAGCCAGAAAACGGCTTCCCTCTATTTGGCCACCGACCATCAAGTGAAGCAAATTGATCTGGCCATGTGTGCACGCCGCTACGACAGCTGCTTCCGCTGTGTGGCGGATCCCTATTGCGGCTGGGACAAGGAGGTCAACGCCTGCCGGCCATATCAGCTGGGCCTGCTGCAGGACGTGGCCAATGAGACGTCCGGCATATGCGATACGAGCGTGCTGCGCAAGCGTGTTACATCCTCCTACGGCCAGACACTGCATCTGTCCTGTTTCGTCAAGATGCCCGACGTGCTGCGCAAGAAGCAGACACGCTGGTACCACCACTCCACAGAGAAGGGACGGTGAGTGTAATTTTGTTTTCGCAGTTCGAAGCTTAAGTACCCTAAGAAATGCTGCCATAAGAAAGCTTTATTTATGTCCGATTGCTTCCATTGGGGACATATGATAAAGTAGTCTGGCTAGTAAGGGTTCGTTCCGGTCTACTTCTATTCGTTGCACATTACGTGACAAACTTGTTATACCCTCGACAAGAGTATCAAAAGCAGTCTTAAATACGCGTAACCTTAGATTAAACGCTCAGACAGGCAGTCTGGTGACCGTCGTTGGCTGTCTTAAAGCCAGCCAATGAAAATTGAAAGCAAATAATGAAAACGGAAGTGTAACCGAAACTTCGCTTCATCTCAGTTAGCGATGGCTGCGGTAAATTGACACTTTAAAATGTGCTGTTGAAGTCTGCTTTCTGGCGTTTACGCTTTTTTGAGTACGCACCACGGCGGCCACTGTGCACTGTGGGGGCAATAAGTAGTCTCTCTGTCTGTCTGACTGTCTGTAATGGAAAAAGTTTCAGCTGGCGCTGCCAAAGTTTCACACACTTTATATTGATTTTTATTGTGCGTTGCCAATGAGACACTTTTTCACGCACTCGCACTGCGCTGCGCTGCGTTGAGCTTTGCTGGCAAAACAAACTGAAACTGGAAAATAGAAAATAGAATATATGGCAAATAGAAAATCGACTTATCTTGCTTTCTTTTTGGCCTCTCTATGCAGCTACGAGGTGCGCTACACACCCACCAAATACATTGAGACCAACGAAGGCGGCCTGGTGTTGCTGGCTGTGAACGAGGGCGATGGCGGCCGATATGATAGCTATTTGGATGGCACCCTGCTCTGCAGCTACGGTGTCACTGTGGATGCGCACAGGTGAGAGTCTTTGTCCCAATCCCACACCCCACACTCCACTTTCCAACCACTCTACCTGCCAAGCAATAAGCAACCCACCCGGCTGGCATTTAAATTTACCGCTTCGGGCGTCAAAATATCCGTTGCGCAATTAGAAAGCTGAAACTTTCGACTTGTGTGTTGCTGTTGTTGTTGGGCGCACACTTTAATTTCCGTGCACGGGACATGCCGATAACTTATTGTGCTGTGCTCTTCTACTTACATTAGATGCTCGCCGCCTTCGCAGAAGCAGGACTACCAGAAGATCTATTCGCACTGGTGCAACGAGTTCGAGAAATACAAATCAGCCATGAAGCAATGGCAGGCCAAACAGGAGGTAAGCGAAATCTGCCAATTAAATATAGATTTAACAACCGGCAGCAGACGGCACAGCTGTTATTCGCAGCTGCCGTTAATTGTTTTTAATTAATTTTTCATTCAAATCGTTGATTCTGTGCCTAATTTCCTGGCCATGCAATTAACGAAATTATATAAGTATTTTTGTGCCCATAATACCCATTAAATATAAGTAGTTAGGAAGGGCATAATGTTTTGTCGAAATGTATGTAACAGGCAGACGAAAGTAGCTCGGTCCCCATAATGTCTTTCCGTCAGAGTGGAATCGTCGATATAGAAAACTAGAAAAACCGAGAATCATAAAAATACTTAAAATGTGAAATATGTATCCTTCCATACCATACGTGGAGCAAATTTAAGTCTTACTTCATTAAAATTTTCTCCTATCCTACTACTCGAAAATAATAATAACTAGATCCTTTGGTATATACACAATTTTGTATGCCATATTTGGAACATCTGCTTGAAGTCTGGTTCAGGGTATCTCCTAGCCGGTTACTACCGACTGAAACCCTCATCTTTCTTGGTCTTGTGAATTTTATCTAATTAAGTTTCTCGCTTGTGTTTTGCAGCAATGTGGCCTCAAGGATAAAACGGCAACAGGCAGCAGCAGCGGCAGCAGCATCAGCGGCAACGGCAAACATGTCAACGATGTGTTCAGCAACGACGCCCTGGTCTGACCCAGAAGTGAGTAGCCGGCTTGAGAGCCAAGACAAGTTTTAGCCTAGTTCCTACCCACTACACAAAAAATTCCATAAAACAAAACCAAAATTAACTCATGGCCTTTGCCCTCCTCTTCTGTGCCTTCCCACCAAATATGCTGCCCACTCTCAGAGTACTTGTTCAGCTATGAGTTCTTGTCGGCGGGTGTACGCCCAAATTTCGGCCATCATTTGTACATTTTCGTGTTTCTGCTAGCCCTGTGTACTAGTTACTAAAGTCTCTAGTCAAACTAGTTAAAGTAAGTTGTAGAAACAAAAAAAAAAAAAAAAAAAAAAACACCACGCCACGTCTAATCATGGCCAATATTTAAATATAAATGTTTTGTTTTGTTTGCCAATTCAATTTGATTACAGCCAGCAAAAACGCCAAGGAGCAGCAGCAGGGAGGAGAGTAACCAGCACCCAGAAAGCAGTGACAAGAGCCGAGCAACCAACTACAAAGACTGAAATTTTTAAGCTTTTGAAAGACAATATTTCAATATGTTTTCAATATGTGTTTTATTTTTTTTTCTTTTGCTTCATTTACATGTACAGCAATTGTTTAGTGCTCTACGTTTGCCATTCGAATTAACAACAAATATCAAATAACAAATTTCAAAGCAAAACTCAATAGTGCAACAAAAACAAAAAAACAACAACAAACCACAATCACTACTACAACAAAAACAACAAAAGCGAAAACAACAGCAACAACAAAATGTTTGATTGATTTGAATATTAAGGTACACACAACTAGCCAGAATGCAGCAGAAAGCGCTAAGCAAGTGAGTAAACGTTAAAAGTTACTAACAAAAGGATCCTGCCATAATGAAAAATGGAAAATACGGTTTTACATAGAACAGAGTCTCTATTTCTATTTCGAATTCTATTTCTATTGCGATTGCTTCAAAAAGAAATCACTAAATTATGCTAAGATAAATTACGAGTAATTTAAAAAGCGCAAATACAAACCACCTACATGACACACAGACACAAACACACTTACATAGGCTACATACAGACATAGGCTACAAGGACATCATTCAATTTGAGCTCAACGGTTTTTTGCCTCAGTTTTGTGTATAAATTTTAATATGCATTTGAGTTTAGGTTCTAGGATTGTATGCATACCCTTTGACACATACACTCAACTAAATATTAAGTCTACATTTTAGAAAATCGCTTTCAATAGAAATGTTTCTTAATTTTAGACATATTTCCTGTTTAAACGAAATGTTCTTTATAGAAGAATATTTTTGGTAAAACACGAAAATTGACTAAAATTAAGAAAATTGTTGATAGCGATTTTCTATAATTTAGGTTCAACATTTTCTTGAGTGTATAAAAAACAAATGCAAGACAAAAAAAAGAAAAGATAGCGTCGCTTGGCCATGGGAAGATCTTAAACGAATTTGTATATTAACTAGCAATATTTGTTTAATAATTCTAGTATAAGGTTTATGTATAGCTATGTATAAATAGTTCGTAGATATTGTATTTAAAAAATATTTAGATACAACCTCTGGGTGTGCATTGTATTTTATGGAACCAAAATTTCATAAAATATTCAGAAACAGCCCAACTCTTGGCTCTGACATGGTCTCTAGGTTAAGGCAAGAGCTTGTACATAACGTCGCCTTAGTTATAATCAAACCACTTTAACAGTTAATAAGCTTTTAGTTTACTTAACACAAAACTCAAGTATTTAGTATTGGCATATTAATGGAAAAGTTCGTGTAAGCTAGCATTTAATTTAAATACTTAATAGAGTTTGGTTTAAAAACAAAAAAAAAGTTTTTGGGCAAATGAAAAATAACACGCTGATGGTATTTTGGCCGTCGTTGTATAGATTGCGCGTTAGCCTCATGTTTATTATAAGCAATATATATGCATACATATAGTTACTGCAGATTGAGACCAATATGCTCATATACATACACATACACACACATCCATACATACATACATGCATAGATACATTTACATATACGTATATTTAACCATAGATATAAGTAAGTTGGTGTGGCAAATACATTTTAGTAATGTTCAACTAAATTCTCAAATCGCAGTCGTTGCATAATATAAACATGTATGCGTAGTACCCCAATTCGGAATTAAGTAAAATGCATTCAAATCTCTTGTATGTAGAGTAATACATACGTATATCTAATAGATGGCCGTTGAATTAATCAATATTTAATGAGCAAGCGATTAAACAGAAAATAATTAACTAATAATATTAACAAAAAGAACAACAATATAACTGCCATTAAGTATGGAACTGCATTTTGAAATACATGGAAAACTAAACGCTTCTCTGAACATTAAACCATGCAAATTGAGGAAGTGCATTAACATAAATCCCATAGGTACTTACAACTGCCAATATAAGTATAAACATATATGCGTAAATTAACAAAATATTTTTCTAAAAGTTTTCTCAGCAAAAGCAACAAAATTTTAATGTTTCCATCTAGAAGTTACCCACAAACACACACGTTTTAGCTTAGTACTCGAATCTAATCCATTGTAAATGAAACTACAAATAAAATATGTATTTTTCAGCTAATAATGCTCTGAGCTTCTAACTTGAGATACACAAGTTTATTTTGCTTTTTGTAGACGATTTAATTTTTGATTTATTGTAAATAATTTAAAGATTATGTGAAATGTTTTGTATGACAATCACATGATGTTGAGCAAATAAAAATATGATGACCCGTAAATGAAGCTAATTGCAATGTCGGTATTTGAAGTAAACAAAATGAATTCAAATAATGAAAAAAAAACCTAAATTACAAATTTAATATAAACACAATACATATATATATATATATATATATATTTAAATATATATATAAATATATCATATATAGTTAAAATAGCGAACAAAAAGGTCCTTGTAAAAATAAAATAATAATCGAAGCGTACTCTAGGCAACACCCGTTTTACAAAGTATTCATACAATAAAAATAATTCGCGCTTGAAGTACATTTGCATATATACTTATGTATGTATACAGTTTTCTGTCTATGGTAAACTATATTAAATATATAAAGAATATTACAACAAAATAAAAGAGTAAAGAAAAGTAAAGATAAAAAAATAACAAAGCTGCGCTGAAGAACGTATCATGAGCTATCTAAAATTTCATAACAAAAAAAAAAGAAGAAATAACATAAATAATTATGAGAACTTATAATTAAACAAAGAACTTAGCTGTAAACATTAAAGTAAAATGCAGTAAATAAATGTGATAAGATTCTTTAATAGAAAACATTTTACTTCATTTTTACTTGGCGAAAACGGGTTTGTTTATGAACAAATTTGTTGTGCTAATTTTAATAAATATGGTTTAAAATTAATAAACGACAAATTTGTAATTTATCTTGTTGCTTTTGCAGTAATATTTTACATTAATATGTATATAAAGAATTAATATTATAATTATATATTATTTATATATTTAAATGTAAAACTTAAAAACTACCAAGTTTTTATTTTTATTGTATAGTAATTTATTTTATTTTTATTGTATAGTAGCTTTTTTTACAATTTACGTTCTAAAATTATTTGAAGACTAAGAGCTTTTGTACTTTTGGAAGTATTTATTTTACTTTTTACTATAATGGTGTCGCTCGCTTGAAACATTTTTCCAGGTTTCACTCTGCAAAGTTAATAGGTATAGAAACGGGCCATTCATAGCAACTAGCCCCAGTTGCGTTTTACCTTCGGGTCGCGCAGATACTTTAAAAACTTTTCCTTAACCGGGAGCATCAGTTGTGAATTGTTTCCGGGGCTTAAGTCTAAGAAATATTTAACATTTACGGCTGGTGTGGCCTGTGTCTGGGCCGGGGCTGTGGCTGGGGCGCTAAGTACATTTCTGTGTAAGTACTTATTTGTTTATGTATTAAATAAATAGGAAGGGTCTTAACTATAATAAGTTCAGTTGAATTTTACTCGCGGCTGCTTTAAATTAATAAAAAAAAAAAATGCGGTAACAGCACATAACAGTTACTCTTGAGCACCAGACCCATTACAAACTTTGATGTGACTCGAAACGTGGCGACATCTTTAACAATTAATCAATGCACAACTAGAGCTGCAAATAGAGACATTTAACTGTTATGAAAAATTTCAGAGCTATATTATTTCCAATTAAGTGTAGCTGGGCAAATGCGATCGCCTGACCTCGGGTCATTTGCCGTTGTTAACCGCAAATAGAATCGAATATGGTGAGCTGGCAGTAGCCGGGTCGCATGTATTTCATTTGGAATATTGATAAATGAAATGAAATCCACACTACAGAGCGAAAGAGAGAGCTCACAAAACACGCTCCCCAGTGGAGTACCTGTCAATGGCAGGCACACACACGCACACACAACAGTCGCATACTCATTCGCATGCAATTTAATTTGGCTGCCTTTTTGTTGCGGCTTTGTTTTGCGCCATTTTACGGTGGTTGTTTCAATTTATTATACAATACAACTGCAATTGGGATTGTTTTTAATAGTTTTAAACTCGCGAACCAGCCGCAGGTCAATAACACACACACACACACACACAACACACACACACAGAGAGTGAGAGAGTGAGGGAGACGGGTTGACATGCGAAAATTGCATGCAGCTAATTGGCCACTGGCTATGACTAGACTACAATTCTAGGCAGCTCAGCTGAGGGCTGCCAAAGGAGGCGATGCCAGATGTGGCAGCCGCATTTAAATTATAGGTTTGCTTTGACTTGTGCAATTTGATGGAATGGGAGGACTGGGGGGTCTGCAGCAAGATGCGACATGCACCGCTATTAGACGCATTCCCAGATATGCAATTTGTGTAGCTTTTTTTTTTTAATAATTATTCTGAATTATAATTAAATTGATTAATATGAAAGTTGTGCGCTATATCTTCTGTTTGTAATACTGAATTGATTCCGTGGTGCCAATTTGCTGATCCGTAATGCAGTATATCGGCTGACAGACCTTAACGTACTCGGGATTGTACAACATACTCTCAATGTAGTGCTTGGGATTGGTTGGCTCCGGCCAGAGGGTGGCCAAGCGGCGGCGATAGGCATAGGCGAACACTGCGTAGGTTATTTGATTATTTATGCATTTCAGTTTGCGCATGGGCGGAAAAACATCGCGCTTGGCCATGTCGTTGGGCCACACCAAGTTGGCCAGCCGATCAGCGGCCACCAGGAATGTCTCATCCGGCACGCTCGTCATGCCCGACAGCATGACGCCCAGCGTGAGCCCGGCGAGCATATACTGGACATTGCAGTAGCCGGGCTGATACACTTTATTGGCATACTTCAAGGACGGCAGCTGTGCGGCCGAAATAAATATGCAGCGGCCCTTGGTGTACACAAAGGCGTCATTGGCACAGCATTCCGCCAGCTCCAGTGGGGTGGACATGGCGTATATGATGGGTTGCTCTGCGCTCTGCTCCATTGCCTTGATGATATCTTTGGTAAAGACATTGGGCTCTGAGCTGCAGCCCACCAGCACATTAGGCTTGAGCAAATTAATTGCTTCGAGTAGACTGCCGACTTTCTCGTGCCTGTGCTTGAATTCCAACAGTTCCGTGGGCACCTTGTGATCGCAGCGACCGTGGACTATCAGCCCATGAGCGTCACAGAACCAAATGCGCTCCCTCGCTGCACTCTCATCCATGCGCAAATACTTTAGATAGGCCAGACACTTGCGCGCCATGCCTATGTTAAAGGTTCCGCTGCCATAGAAGATCAGCTTGTTTGCCTTAAACGTGCGCTCACTAATTTTGTTGGCGGCCAGCAGGCCGGCCAGCCCGCAGGCGCCCAGGACCTGAAGACTGACATCCATGAAGCATTGCCGCTTACGATAGCGCTCCAGCTGTTTGATGGAGTCTAACGCGCCAAAGTTCTTCGTTTGGATGATTGCACGTGGTCCAAAGAGCCGCAAGACGGCCACAGTGAACTCCTCGAAGAAGGCCTCGTACTCAGCTCCCGTGACGCGACGTTGGGGCAAGCCCAAATACAGTGGATCCCGCAGCAGTTCCTCGTTGTTAGTACCAACGTCTAACATTACGGGCAGGCAGCTATCAGGATTAACGCCGCCGTAAGCAACGTTTTGGTACAATTTGAAAAATACGACGGGAGCTGCATTAACCCCATAGTCGCCCATACTCAAGACGGAATCGCCATTAGTCACAACCAAATAGCGCACATCGTAGCGTCGCGGCCAATTGCGCAGCACTTCGTAGATGTGGCCACGATCCTTGATGGTAACATACATGCCCCGGGTATTTGTGTGGAGGATGCCAAAATTCTTAACCGAAAAATAAAACTCCGAGCTCTTGAACACCGACATAAAGGTTTCTGGATCGCTTATCAATAGATTAAAAAACAGCTTGCGATTAAATGCCTCCAATTCCGTTAAAAATATATACTTCTGATAATTCGAGGTCAACGTGGCAAAATGTTGCGTGCAAGCCTCCAGTTGCTGCTTCACAGTGAACACGGCGGCTGGCATAAATCCGTGTATGCTCAGCAGTTGTCGCTCCCGATGCGAAAACGCCGACGACTTGTTTAACGAGCTCAAACGGTACATCCTGTGTCCGCTCAACTGGGAACGTGGCAGCTGCGAATCGGTACGCCAGAAGGTGTCCAACTCTCGGGGCATGCCCTCCAACGCGAGGAGCTTGGCGTCCTCATGGATGCAATCATATACCGGCTGTTGCTTATTGGCACGCATTTTTATTCGAAATTAATATAAGTGTATGTGCAGGTTGAAAAAGCTGGCTACGATTTCTACTAACATAGGTGTATACTTATAAATATACATATAAGTATGATTTAAATATCTTAAGTTATGTATGTGTGTATGTGCAAGAATGTATATATTTAGTTATGCATGCATGTAGTCTAATACCTTAAGTGGAAGCGTACTTTTATACAGAGCCCTACTACCCGATTCTCATGAATTGAAGTAAGTTTTCAATATTTTTTTAGTAAGTGAAGTGATACATGTATGTATATGCAAGCGAATATCTACTGTAAAAACTCTGTTGTGTGGAAAGTGAACGCAGGATAATGTTTGTCCGATCAAGAAGAGCATCCTCCCAGTGGGCAGATTTATATTGTTTTGAGAAAAAATGTTCGCTCGAAAGGGTTGTCCACCTACTTGGAGTGTCCGTTAGATGGGTTTTTATTGTATAAATATTTGCAAATGTTTGTTAGTACTCTTTATTTTTGTCCTGCTCTGCGCTTCTCATGAATTGCAGTAAGGTCATCAAGTTTTTATGAATAAACGAGTGTTGTTGGCAGTCTAATTAACTGTATCTCTGAACTCTCGCACTCGCTCCATTTTATTTTATACATCTTTCTTTCTCCTGACGTTACCCTTAAAGAAATGATTTCTTTTGTTCATTTGGTGATATGGATTAATTAAAGCTCTATGTGAAAATTTAGCTAAGTGCGTATTTACATATTATATTATACATACAAGAATATATGTTGGGGAAATTCAGACCGGGACAAGAGTTAACTCTAAGCATCTTATAAGTATGAATGTCAGTGTGTAAATATGTAGCTTGTAGCTTAATGCACTCTGGCCACATTTAATTTGTACTCATTTGCATTTTGGGGGTCCTGGGCATTATGTAAATGTATCTAGCGCACTTTGTGGCGACCTCAAACCCAAAGTGACACCTCAAAATGTCGTTGTGGATTCCTTGTCGGTGCCCTTTCGGTCCTGGGCGCATCGACGAGTTCGGGTGGCATCATGTTCTCGAAATTTGATGCAAAACATCAACTGCGCCAAACTTGAGCCCAAGACACGCTGGCGCCCAACTCGCACACCTTTTATGCTAAATATTCAGTCAGGGGGGGCGTGGGTGGCAACGGGCGGACAACAGCCATTTGTGGTGAGCACAAGTGCACTTGGGCAGCGGCCTTAAGTGAAATGGCAACTTCGTAATATTTCGACCAAAGATTCGAGTCCTGGCAACGGCAATGGCAACGGAAACGGAACGCAGCGCATTTAAAAACAAGAGCCTGGAGCACCAAACGGCTGGCCATAAGCGGCTTAATTCCAGTGGGTGAGACTTGGCATGGGGTTTGGGAGGGGGAGGGAGTCGCTTGGTTAGCGTTACTTTTTAAAATTCCACAGAGTTCTGGGCAGCCAACTGGCCAACTGTTGTCGGACAATTCCAAATAAATTTGCATCAAATAGAAAAGAAAATGCCGCAACTAATTTGCAACGAGTGAATGTACGAAGTGCGCCCGTAGTCAAGGCAACGCATAAATTGAAGATGAATGAGAGTGAATAATACACACAGACACACAGGTACTCGAAAAACAATTCAAAAATCCAATTAAATGCCGGCAGGTGTGAGCGGGAATGCATCAAATTCTCTCATAATGAAATCAATTTTCAATCAAATGTTCTCGGACATCGAAGCAGTCAAAACTCGAACCCAAACACGGAACGAAAGGGGGACCAACAAATGCGACACAGCAACAAAGTGACCAAAGTGGCCAAAATGTTCGACTGTATGTGTGTTTGTGAGTGTGTGGGTGTGCGGGTGTGAGTGTGCACGTTTTATTTCCGAAAGGGCCAAGAGGGCTTTACGGCCATTTTTTGTGCGCTTTGTTTTGCCCGGCAGTGGCTGCGGCACATTTGCACTTTTTGGACATTAAAGGCAACACCATTTGCAGTTTTTTTCTGCCATCGACTGCGGATGTGCTGCAAATTGAATTTCTGCCACGGGACATATTAAGTGATCGAACTCGCTCGTAGCGCCTACGGCTTTGGCGTTTTAACATAAAAATTTATGCGCTAGGTGTAAGCAGAGTAAAAGGTAAAGGCCAGCCAACAAGCTGCCCCCTGACACAAGTCCCCTGAATTGATCGAAAGGTGTATGGGGTTTGGGAGAGTGTTGTGTAGCATACACATATATTGTTGTGTGGGGTGTGTGTCTTTCAGCTGCAACGTAGCACAAAAAATGTTTATGCGACGTTTATACTATAGCGCAATTTGAATATTTTATGGATGAAATTCGATTTCAGCCATGCCCGGCACGTGCACTAAAAACTTTTGCATATGGAAATTGATTTCCTTTGGTGTCATACCTTATGCATGCTTGTGTGTTTGTGTGTGTGTGTGTAGATGTGTGTCTGTCCAGTTTGTCCATTTGCTGGCTGACTATTTGGATAGTTGTCAAGAGCATAAAAACAAACGTAATTCGCACCTCTTCGATAACAAAACTAGTTTCAAAGCAAATTTGATGCATGCTAAAACTAAGCAATTTATATGCCGAACGTGTTGCACAATCGCCAACATTATTACGCATACGCCATATGGTACAAATTCAATCATTTTTGATTTAGGAGATCAGTTCCAAAAGAACTCAATTCGTGTGCCTCATATAAATCGATCATAAAACAAGTTTGTCATGAACAAAATATTAACTTATTATTTATGGAAATTTCATTTGTAGACTGGGAAGGCCGCCTTCTAGCCTTATATTAAAAATCTAAATTATAAGAACGAGAAACTGAAAATTGAAATAGATTTACCATATATTTTCGAATATAAAATACCATATATTGTACATCGATTTTAAAATATTATAACCAACACGATAGTTTTAAGCAATCGATTTCCACAAACTTTTTACACTTGATCACCGGTCACTTCATCAACTCTAACAGTTTTATATAAATAGATAAGCTAACGGGCTAAATAATGCATTCATACCTATCGAATGGTTAGACAGCATATATGGATGCTTTTTATAAATATTGACACATGGCATTGCATAAAAAATAAGCCAGTTAGTGAAATATTGAAGGCTTGTTATGCAATTGTAAACCAAAAAATGTCACAGCCCCGATTTATTTGTTCATTTTTTTTTTTTTGTCGCAGTTTGCCGTTTGCTAGTGGCAAATATTGAAAGCCGATATGTAAAGCGACGTCAATGGGTTAGTCACATAAAAAGTGGCCTTTCTGATGTGCCGCAAAAGCGGTCAAAAGCACATTGCAGCCGTTTATTAAATGATATGTCCGCTGCATAGAGCTCAAGTGGGCCAAAGCCAAAGCCCAGTGCTGCAGTTTTCCATATATTCGTCTTTTTTTTTTTTTTTTTTTGGTAAATTTCAAATAGATTTGCATCCCGCTGGGCATTCAATGAAATACCTCACAGCTATTTTTGGTGGCATTAAAGGTTTTGAAATTTTACGATGCAAATTAACAAAATGCTGTCAGAAATTTTTGAGGGAGGGGCTGGTGGGTGGCATGACTTACTCGCAGCATTCAATGAAGAGAAACTCAAATAAACGTCATATGAGTGTCGTAGTTTTTTTTTTTTTTTGGCCGCGAGCCTCGTGCAACTCGTTCAAAGTAAAAAGTCTTAAATAAAAAATTTATAAGCTAAATAAAACCGCTGCAACAGCAGAGGCCACTGAGGACTGGGGCTTGTGCAGAGCTCGCACGACTCCTGTTGTTGATGTCGATTCCTTTTGGCTTTCCGGGCTGGCAGTCGCGGCTTCAGCTTGGCGTGTTGCTGTGCACACACATACACACGCATACATATACACACGCGCGCGAACTCACAGGAAAAACTTTGAAATCGGCAGCTACGTGCGTCAAAGCCAAAAAGCGCCAACTTTATATCGTTGACGTTGTCGTTGCTTTTACTTTGGAACTTCAAAAGACTTTCAGCTTATTTTCGTACATCTTTGCTGCCAGTTTGTTATTTATTTTACTTTTTTTATTTTATTTTTCGTGGCCCGCATGCAGGGCACGCTTATATTTCTTTGAGCATCCCAAGGCCCAATTGTCGGAATTGGAATGCCAAATAATTTAGGCAATAATCAAAATAAAATCACAATTAATATTAAGCAGAACAGCAGCGGCTAGAATAGCATAATTAACTTGTTGCACGCTCCTTTTGGCTTGCAATCTGGGCCAATCTAATCGCATGTATCCGGCAAATATTTCTATGCCACAAATGGCACAAATACACAAATCCAAAAATACTTGTGTGTGGGCATTAGTGGCAAATTAAAGAAAGCATAAACACGAAATCAGCACATGCGAGCTCTCTGTACAAAGCAGCTCTGTCCGCCTTTCAAATCCGCACATAAAAATTGTTAACGGAAGCGAAAATTAATTAAAGCCATGGACAAGGGCAAAGTACGCGCTGGCACGCAACTCACTGGCTCTCAGGCGGCGACTGGGGGCCGTGAGGAATGACTCCACTGTTGTGGACTCTGACAGAGCAGGAGTCTGGCCAGTTGGGAGGCTGGGCTGCAAAATCAAAATATGAGCACCCCGCGAACGTTACGCGCTTTTAGACGTGCTCAAATATTTGCGAAACGTGTCAAAAGCGTTGCAAACTTTGCGCTTCAAAGCACCGACCACCTCGCACCCACGCTCTCGCTGCCAGCAGTAAAAACAATTGATTGAACGCTGTGCCCGTGCAGCAAGGGGGATGGGCACCGGCAGTCCCAAATGTCACTGGGTTAGCACAGGCAGCTGCGAGTGGGTGGCAGGTGAGCCCACACCTGCCTCCCCGTGCAGCTGTGCGGTCAGGCAGGCAAACGATAACCAGATAGTCCTCCAATGAACACCAAAAAGAACATGCTGCAATTGTTACCAAATTCATCAAAATTATCGAAATATTTTTGCCCGAACAATATGAAGAAAAGCCTTGTGATAGAGGCCATCTAATCAAGGTACTCAGACATTCACAGGTATACTGAAGATATATTTGTTTCACTTTTTATACAAATCAAGGCTCAAC